ACCCACCGCCACGCCCGGCTAACTTTTTTGTATTTTCAGTAAAGAGGGGGTTTCACCGTATTGGCCAGGATGGTCTCCATCTCCTGACCTCGTGATCTACCTGCCTTGGCCTCCCAAAGTGCTGGGATTACAGGCGTGAGCCACCACGTCTGGCCAACTGAAGTCCTTTTTTAAAAATGTATTACTTTATATAAACTGTTTTCTTTATTTCTTTTTTGAGACAAAATCTCTCTCTGTTGTCCAGGCTGGAGTGCAGTGGCACAGTCTCTGCTCACTGCAACCTTCACTTCCCAGGTTCAAGTGATTCTTCTGCCCCAGCCTCCCAAGTAGCTAGGATTACAGGCGCCCGCCACCACACAGGCTAATATTTGTGGGTTTTTTTTTTTTTTTTTTTTTTTTTTGAGACAGACTATTGCTCTGTTGCCCAGGCTGGAATGCAGTGGCGTGATGTCAGCTCACTGCAACCTCTGCCTCCTGGCTTCAAGCAATTCTCCTGCCTCAGCCTCCCGAGTAGCTGGGATTACATGCACGCACCCCTATGTCCCACTAATTTTTGTATTTTTAGTAGAGATGGGGTTTCACTATGTTGACCAGGCTAGTCTCGAACTCCTGACCTCGTGATCTGCCACCATGCCCCGCTAATTTTTGTATTTTTAGTAGAGATGGGTTTTCACCATGTTGCCCAGGCTGGCCTCGAACTGCTGACCTCAGGTGATCCACCCTCCTCGGCCTCCCAAAGTGTTGGGATTACAGGCATGAGCCACTGTACGCTGCCTTTTTTTTTTTTTTTTTTTTTAGGGGGCATAGGGTTTTGCTCTGTTGCCCAGGCTGGAGTATAGTGGCATGGTCTTGACTCACTGCAGCCTCTACCTCCTGGGCTCAAACAATCCTCCCATCTCAACCTCCTGAGTAGCTGGGCCACCATGGCCAGCTAATTTTTTGTGTTTTTGTAAAGATGGGGTTTTACTATGTTGCCCAGGCTGGTCTTGAACTCCTGGGCTCAAGCAAGCCACCCGCCTCAGCCTCCCAAAGTGCTGGGATTACAGGCATGAGCCACTGCCCCCGGCGGAACTTGAGAACTAGAATGTGTCTTTTGTGCACTACAATGTCACCAGACCGGGAGCAGTGCCCAGCACTCAGTAAATGTCTTCCTGAATGGATTAGTGTAGCACCAAGAGAAAGACTGCTGTCTCCCCCGCCCCTCCTTTCTTCTCTTACCCAAAACAAAATAGCTGGAGGCAGCAAAGAATTGCTGGCAGCCTGGAGAGCAGTGTGGAGTGCGGGAGAGCTGGGGACCCTAAGGCAGCTTCCGGGCACCGGAGAGAAGAGGCCCCTCAGGGCCTGGGCCAGCCTGCGCCCAAGCAGAGAGCATCCGGAGAGCTGTTCCTGACAACGCCCCTCTAAGGTTAAAGCAGCCCCATTCTGGCCTAGCACGGTGGCTCACGCCTATAATCCCAACACTTTGGGAGGCTGAGGCAGGTGGATCACCTGAGGTCGGAAAAAATACAAAAATAAAAATTAGCTGCACGTGGTAGCACCTGCCTGTAGTCCCAGCTACTCCAGAGGCTAAGGCTGGAGAATGGCGTGAACCCGGAAGGCGGAGGTTGCAGTGAGCCGAGATCGCGCCATCACACTCCAGCCTGGGAGACAGAGCGAAACTCCATCTCAAAAAAAAAAAAGCAGGCGGTTGGGCGCGGTGGCTCAAGCCTGGAATCCCAGCACTTTGGGAGGCCGAGACGGGCGGATCACAAGGTCAGGAGATCGAGACCATCCTGGCTAACATGGTGAAACCCCGTCTCTACTAAAAATACAAAAAACTAGCCGGGCGAGGTGGCGGGCGCCTGTAGTCCCAGCTACTCGGGAGGCTGAGGCAGGAGAATGGTGTGAACCCGGGAGGCAGAGCTTGCAGTGAGCTGAGATCCGGCCACTGCACTCCAGCCTGGGCGACAGAGCGAGACTCCGTCTCAAAAAAAAAAAAAAAAAAAGCAGGCCCCTCCTCAGAAGCTGTTGTAATTGTAGCTTCCGCTTGTCAATTAGGAATATAATGTAGGTTGGTTTCTCAACAAGATCACATGAATTTCAGAAAACACAGTTTAATAGTCAAAAAAGTAACCGTGGAGCATCTTAAGTGTTTTTTGTTTGTTTGTTTGTTTGCTTTGTTTTGTTTTTTGAGACGGAGTCTTGCTCTGTCGCCCAGGCTGGAGTGCAGTGGTGCGATCTCGGCTCACTGCAAGCTCCGCCTCCTGGTTTCAGGCCATTCTCCTGCCCTCAGCCTCCCAAGTAGCTGGGACTACAGGCGCCCGCCACCATGCCCGGCTAGTTTTTTTTTTTTTATTTTTCAGTAGAGACGGGGTTTCACCGTGTTAGCCAGGATGGTCTCGATCTCCTGACCTCGTGATCCGTCCGTCTCGGCCTCCCAAAGTGCTGGGATTACAGGCTTGAGCCACCGTGCCCGGCCTTGTTTTGTTTTTTGAGATGGAGTCTCACTCTGTCGCCCAGGCTGGAGTGCAGTGGCGCCATCTCGGCTCACTGCAAGCTCCACTTCCTGGGTTCAGGCCATTCTCCTGCCTCAGCCTCCGGAGTAGCTGGGACTCCAGGCACCTGCCACCACGCCTGGCTAATTTTTTGTATTTTTAGTAGAGACGGGGTTTCACTGTGTTAGCCAGGATGGTCTCCATCTCCTGACCTCATGATCCGCCCGTCTCACCTCCCAAAGTGCTGGGATTATAGGCGTGAGCCACCGAGCCCAGCCCTTTTTTTTTTTTTTTTTTTTTTTTTTTTTTTTAAGACAGAGTTGATCTGTCACCCAGGCTAGAGAGCAGTGGTGTGATCTCAGCTTACCACAACCTCTGTCTCCTGGGTTCAAGCAATCTCCTACCTCAGTCTCCCAAGTAGCTGGGATTACTAGCCCACCACCATGCACAACTAATTTTTGCATTTTTAGTAGAGACAGGGTTTTACCACGTTGCCCAGGCTAGTCTTGAACTCCTGAGCTCAGGCAATCCGCCCACCTCGGCCTCCCAAAGAGTTAGGATTACAGGCATGAGCCACCACGCCTGGCCATCTTAAGTATTTTATTGTAGTTCTGAGACACAATGAAAGGGATTCCTAGTTCATAGCAACTCCTCTTAAAATCCTTTCCCATCCCATCTGCTTCCTCCGGCGCCACTCCCATGCCTCTGTCCAAAATGCCCCAGACATCCTTTCCTCCAGCCTCAGCAGGCTGTATCCTGCTCTCTCATTCCCCTTCCTTCTTTTTTTTTTTTTTTTGAGACGGAGTCTGGCTCTGTCGCCCGGGCTGGAGTGCAGTGGCCGGATCTCAGATCACTGCAAGCTCCGCCCCCCGGGTTCACGCCATTCTCCTGCCTCAGCCTCCCGAGTAGCTGGGACAACAGGCGCCCGCCACCTCGCCCGGCTAGTTTTTTGTATTTTTTAGTAGAGACGGGGTTTCACCGTGTTAGCCAGGATGGTCTCGATCTCCTGACCTCGTGATCCGCCCGTCTCGGCCTCCCAAAGTGCTGGGATTACAGGCTTGAGCCACCGCGCCCGGCCGCTTCCTTCTTATCTGATCCCCAGAGTCCAAAAGTTCAAGGATTCTGATTTGAATCCCAAAGTCCAAAAGGTTTAGGAAGGGAAAAAAGTGGAGCAAGCGGGCTGCATGAGTCCACTAGTGACGTGCGTCCTCGCCCATCTGTGAGGTGTGTGTTTCTCTGACCACAGGGGAGGAAGCTGCAGCCCAGGGAGGCCGTGACTTGCCGGGAAGGTGGCTCGGGCCAGGCTGCACTCAAAACCCGTGCTCTGTCCACACTGCTGCGGGGCCAGAGCCAAGGAAGCTTCCACTTCTTCCCTCAGCCAGCCCCAACAGCGGCTACCCCAAGGAGCCAGCAGCCCTGTGTCCTGGGATCCCCAGTCCCTGCAGAATGGCCCACCAAGATCTGAGGTGAGCGGGGTGGGGGCAGCCAGAGGCCCTGGCCCCTGGGCCTGGGGAGAGAGTCGCTATGGTGATAGCACATCCAGGTTTCTGAAGAACAAGCTGAGTCCTGGGGAAGAGCAAGAACCCTGCTCCCCATATCACATATACACTACCTCTACTGCGGCAAATACATACACACAAGCTTCTGTGCACGTGTATATTATTGTTCAACATAGTTCGTTTGGGTTCATCTTCTCTGACTGCCAAGTTTAGTTCACAGTTCTCTTTATCATCCCAAGTTTCTTCCTTTGTGAAAGGCCCACTGTCATCCACTCTTACCACTTCCAGGTAAATCCATCGCCAAATGTTTTGTTCACAGTCTGCCTCCCGCCTGAAAGATAAGAAAAGTTTAGTGGGTTCCAAGGAGTCTGAGAAGCTTTGTTTTCTATATCTGGTCTTCCAAAGCTCCTATACCCAGCAGCGTGGGGGGCATGTTATCTCAACTGTGGCTTGACTTTTGGCTGGAACGAGATCACCTCAGGGGCTGACCGACTTGAAGCCCTCACTGTGGGAAGTGCCTGTTCTCTTATTATGAACAATAGCTGGCATTCTCCCCAGGCACGGTTTCCATAGTCCTCAGCAACCCTGGAGTGAGTTCCACGGGAATGCAGGCCCAGAGAGGCAAGGTCACAGTCGGGATGCAAACTCGGTTCCGCCTGACCTTCAGCCAGTTTGTGTGAGAACCGCACACATGGCTCCAGGCCTGCGGAAGAGCCAGAGGGCGGGCCGGGGAAGCTCGGGGCAGAGCGGTGCCCTGGTGGCGGCCCATGGGGGCAGAGCTGGGCTCCTCCCAGAAGCCCCTGCAGGTCCCAGCTCCAGGGACTTCCCTCCCGGGTTGCAGCAAGATGCCTCAGCCCTGGTGAGTGCGGCTGTCCTGTCTGGACCAGACCTGGGCCAGGGAGGCTGAAGAGCATCTCTGGACACCTGTGGGGCTGCGGTTCCCCACTGTCTGTGCCCCTGCCCGTTCCTGGCTGCATCCGCTCCCTAACCTGCCCCTCCCTCTGCCTCTCTCCTCCCCGTGTCCTAGCATCACAGCCAAACTCATCAATGGAGGTGTAGCAGGGCTCGTGGGGGTGAGCTGCGTGTTCCCCATCGACTTGGCCAAGACTCGCCTGCAGAACCAGCATGGGAAAGCCATGTACAAAGGAATGTAGGTGCTGGTGGGCCAGCGTGGAGGGCACAGGCGCCCGGAGGAGGGATGGGGCCCCCTTCCCTCCAGTCTCCAGGCAGCGCGCGTGAGCGTGGGGGCTGGGGAGCTGGTCAGCTGGGATGTGCCCGCGGGAGCAGGGCATGGAGGGGGCTGGGCGGCCTGCTGCACCCTGACTCCTACTCTGGACTCTGCTTTCAGGATCGACTGCCTGATGAAGACGGCTCGGGCAGAGGGCTTCTTCGGCATGTACCGAGGTGGGCTTCTCAGGCCCCCCGGGAGGCTGGGCAGCAGGTGTGAGCGTAGGGGACCTGGGGAACTGGTGTTCCTTCCGTTGCTGCGGGGATGGGGCCGGGGCTGCCAGGGGGTCCTTCCTGATGAGCCTCTGTGCTCTTGGGTGGAGTCAGAGGCAGCCCTGGGTCCCGGTAAGGCTTCCAGAGACCCCCAGAATACACCCCCGCCACCGCCTCACTAAGAGCAGGCGAGCCCACCTTGCCTGCCGGCCTCTCTCTGCCTGGCTAGAAGCGAAGAGAGAGAGGGGCCTGAGCGCCTGGCAGGGAGTTCCGGGTGCCTCCTCCCCAGCACGGTCCAGCGCTGCCACGGTCCCTGCGGGGCCCCCAGCCAGCAGGCCACCTTGGACAGTGGATCCAAAGCTGGAGTTGAGCAGGAACTCATATGCTTGTGCCACCGAGAAGCGAAACACAAACCCTGGAGAGCCCGGAGCCAGCAGCCAATGGGACTGGCTTGTGCGGCACCGAGGAGCAGAACCCCAGTCCCTGCGCCTGGCGCCTGTCACTGGGAACTGCTGGTTTATCATCCGCGACCCCACCAGCAGCAACAAAAATAAAATGGCTTCCTGATAACCAGACTGAGGAGTTCGCAAGAAAAAAATACGTAAAAAGAGGAGAATGTGGAGCCGGGCGTGGTGTCTCACGCCTGTAATCCCAGCACTTTGGGAGGCCGAGGCGGGCGGATGACGAGGTCAGGAGATCGAGACCATCCTGGCTAACGCGGTGGAAACCCGTCTCTGCTAAAACTACAAAAAATTAGCCAGGCGTGGTTGCGGGCGCCTGTAGTCCCAGCTTCTCGGGAGGCTGAGGCAGGAGAATGGCGTGAACCCGGGAGGCGGAGCTTGCAGTGAGCTGAGATCCGGCCACTGCACTCCAGCCTGGGCGACAGAGCCAGACTTCGTCTCGAAAAAAAAAAAAAAAGAGAGAATGTGGTAGGGAGTGGGAATGGAAAGTTATTTCAGTGAAATAGGCCCGGGAGCCCCACCTGGCCCCCAAGATGCCCTTCACTCAGAGACTGGCCTGGCTAGGGCTGAGGGGCAGACCCGGGGAACTGTTATTTCTGGGATGGCCTTGACTCCCCATCTTGTCCTTCACTTCCAGGGGCTGCTGTGAACCTCACTCTGGTCACTCCGGAGAAGGCCATCAAGCTGGCGGCCAACGACTTCTTCCGGCAGCTGCTCATGGAAGATGGGTATGGCCAGGTGGAGTGGGGTTGGATCCTTCACTGTGTGTTTTTTGGGAGAGATGGCAGGAAGAAGATTTCAGCCGGGCGCGGTGGCTCAAGCCTGTAATCCCAGCACTTTGGGAGGCCGAGACGGGCGGATCACGAGGTCAGGAGATCGAGACCATCCTGGCTAACACGGTGAAACCCCGTCTCTACTAAAAAATACAAGAAAACTAGCCGGGCGAGGTGGCGGGTGCCTGTAGTCCCAGCTACTCGGGAGGCTGAGGCAGGAGAATGGCGTGAACCCGGGAGGCGGAGCTTGCAGTGAGCCGAGATCGCGCCACTGCACTCCAGCCTGGGCGACAGAGCGAGACTCCGTCTCAAAAAAAAAAGAAAAAAAAAAAAGATTTCAAATGTGCCTCATTTTACCTGCCTGCATGCATTTCAGTATGTGCACCCAGGGCTGAGGGTTGCTGGAGAGTGAAGGCAGACAACGAGCTGGTATACTTTGGAAGTGTGACAGATAATATAGACAATATAGAATACACCGACAAATCCATCAACTAGGCAATAAATTTTTAAAAATCAGCCACCAAGCTGGGTGCAGTGGCTCATGCCTGTAATCCCAGCACTTTAGGAGGTTGAGGAAGGAGGCCGCTTGAGCCCAGGAGGTCAAGGTTGCAGTGAGCCCCCGGGCGCGGTGGCTCAAGCCTGTAATCCCAGCACTTTGGGAGGCCGAGACGGGTGGATCACGAGGTCAGAAGATCGAGACCATCCTGGCTAACACGGTGAAACCCCGTCTCTATTAAGAAATACAAAAAACTAGCCGGGCGAGGTGGTGGGCACCTGTAGTCCCAGCTACTCGGGAGGCTGAGGCAGGAGAATGGCGTAAACCTGGGAGGCGGAGCTTGCAGTGAGTCGAGATCCGGCCACTGCACTCCAGCCTGGGCGACAGAGCGAGACTCCGTCTCAAAAAAAAAAAAAAAAAAAAAAAAGGTTGCAGTGAGCCATGTTGGTTCCACTGCACGTCAGCCTGGGCAACGGAGTGAGACCTCGTCTCAGGAAAAACAAATCAGTCCCCAAACACTTTCTAGCTCTCTCTGTGCCTCACATTGCCCCAGTGATGTTCCTGAAGGGATCAGGGACAACGCCTGGCCTGGGTAGTTTCTCTGTCACTGTTTTCAGCTTCCGCGCAGTGCTACCTCCCTAGCAGGCTTTGTTTTCAACTTAGTCCCGTCAGTACAGAGACCACAACTAAGGGCTAGCTGATGACTTGCCCAGCTGGGTGAGTGGCAGCCACGGAGGCCATCCAGGGAAAGTCCCCCTCTCACAAGAGGGCAGCTGCGGCTGAAGGAGCCTGACGCCTGTTCCCATAGGATGCAGCGGAACCTGAAGATGGAGATGCTTGCCGGGTGTGGGGCTGGGATGTGCCAGGTGGTGGTGACCTCTCCCATGGAAATGCTCAAGATTCAGCTGCAGGATGCTGGACGCTTGGGTGAGGCCTGTCCCCACCTCCTATGGGAACAGTAAAGGGCTGGGATTGGAACCAGGCACATCCCACATCCCACCCTCATTTGCTAGGCTGTGTGACCAGTCAACTTTCCAAGCAGGTAGAAGTCTTTGGCCAGGCATGGTGGCTCACGCCTGTAATCCCAGCACTTTGGGAGGCCGAGGCAGGTGGATCACTTGAGGTCAGGAGTTCAAGACCAGCCCACCCAGCATGGTAAAACCCCGTCTCTACTAAAGATACAAAAATTAGCCAGGTGTGAAAAAAAAAAAAGTCTTCATTTATGGTTACCCATTTCATCAATGCTGCCAGCTCCAGAACAAATAGCAGAAACGAGAATGTTGATTCAGAGGGTCAGAAAATACTTTATGCTTCTGTCATATTTTCTTCACAATTAGACTTGATTTCCTAAAGATTTTAAGAAACGCCGCCGGGCGTGGTGGCTCACACCAGTAATCCCAGCACTTTGGGAGGCCGAGGCAGGCGGATCACCTGAGGTCAGGAGTTCAAGACCAGCTGGCCAACATGGTGAAACCCCGTCTCTACTAAAAATACAAAAATTAGCCAGGCATGGTGGCAGGTGCCTGTAATCCCAGCTACTCGTGAGGTTGAGGCAGGAGAATCACTTGATCCCAGGAGGCGGAGGTTGCAGTGAGCAGAGATGACGCCATTTGCACTCCAGCCTGGAGGACAAAAGCAAGACTTCATCTCAAAAAAAAAAAGAGAGAAATGCCAATGACTGGCTCACTGAAACCTCCAGTCAGTAAGTATTTTGTGCTGTAGAAGCTGGCTTTTGGTGGAAAGGCATAAAAAGGGATAAGAAAATCATTCTCATTCTTTTGTTTTTTCCTGGAAGAGAAGTTTGGCCCTTTCCTAAATCCTGGTCCTCTCAGAACGATGGAGTGGTGTTGGCTCAGCATGGTACACTCCTGTAATCCCAGCTACTCGGGAGGCTGAGGCAGGAGAATCACTTGAACCCGGGCGGCGGAGGTTGTAGTGAGCGATCGCACCACTGCACTCCAGCCTGGGCAACAGAGCGAGACTCTGCCTCAAAAAAAAAAAAAAAAAAAGCAAGCACTATGGAGTGGTGTAGATGCCACAACGCATATAGTAAAAGCTAGAGCTGGCCAACCATGGAAGGGATGTGGGGGCCTCTCCTTAGGGCTAAACCACAGCGACCAAATTAAATACACTAACCCATAATGCACCTAATGCAGCACCTGGCAACGGGCATACAGTCCTCAGTCCATGCAGTGCCCTTCCCTTCCTCAATTCAGATGTGCACATGTGCTGTGCAAGAATTCTACCAGATTTCTACATTGAATCAGACCAGCCTGGACCAAATAAAACTGCGGTAGAATAAAGTTAGGCACAGATGAGTCCCCACTGTGTTTAGTTTTTCAACCTGTGTAAGAAGTTTAGTATTCCAAAAGCATTTAGAAAGAAGTAAAAGAAGGCCGGGCGCGGTGGCTCAAGCCTGTAATCCCAGCACTTTGGGAGGCCGAGGCGGGCGGATCACAAGGTCAGGAGATCGAGACCACAGTGAAACCCCGTCTCTACTAAAAATACAAAAAAAATTAGCCGGGCGCGGTGGCGGGCGCCTGTAGTCCCAGCTACTCAGGAGGCTGAGGCAGGAGAATGGCGTGAACCCAGGAGGCGGAGCTTGCAGTGAGCCGAGATCGCGCCACTGCACTCCAGCCTGGGCAACAGCGTGAGACTCCGTCTCAAAAAAAAAAAAAAAAAAAAGAAGTAAAAGATAGGATATCAATAAATTATGGTGCATGTAAAGATGACAATGGGGAAAATAATGTTCATATTGATCAACTAATTACTTAAAGTTAATTGTTTGCAGCCTGCACCTAGATTACTACCATAAGAAAATATGTGCCTGCCAGGTGCAGTGGCTCACGCCTATAATCCCAGCACTTTGGGAGGCTCAGGTGGGCGGATCACCTGAGGTCAGGAGTTCGAGACCAGCCTGGCCAACATAGTGAAACCCTCTCTCTACTAAAAATACAAAAATTAACCAAGTGTGGTGGTGTGCACTTGCAGTCCCAGCGGCTTTGGAGGCTGAGGCAGGAGAATCGCTTCAACTGGGGAGGCGGGGGTTGCAGTGAGCCAAGATCAGGCCACTGCACTCCAGCCTGGGTGATAGAGCAAGATCCCGGAAAAAGAAAAGAAAAGAAAAGAAAATTTGTGCAAAGGCTGTGTGCAGTGGCTCCCAACACTTTGGGAGGCCGAGATGGGGGGATCACTTTAGCTCAGGAGTTTAGGACTAGCCTGGGCAACATAGTGAGACCTTGCCTCTAAAAAAATACAAAAATTAGCCAGATGTGCTGGCATGGGGCCGTGGTCCTGGATGTGCTGGCGTGGGGCTGTGGTCCTGGACGTGCTGGTGTGGGTCTGTGGTCCCAGGGACTCGGGAGGCAGAGGTGGGAGGATTGCTTGAGCCAGGAAGGTTGAGGCTGCAGTGAGCGATTGCGCCACTGCACTCCAGCCTGGGTGGCAGAGCAAGACCCCGTCTCAAAAAAACAACGAACAAACAAAACAGGCCGGGTGTGGTGGCTCACGTCTGTAATCCCAGTACTTTGGGAGGCTGAGGCGAGTGGATCACCTAAAGTCGGGAGTTCAAGACCAGTCTGACCAACGTGGAGAAACTCCGTCTCTACTAAAAATGCAAAATTAGCTGGGCGTGGTGGCGCATGCCTGTAATCCCAGCTACTCAGGAGGCTGAGGCAGGAGAATCACTTGAAACCAGGAGGCAGAGGTTGCAGTGAGCAGAGATCGTGACATCACAGTCCAGTCTGAGCAACAAGAGTGAAACTCCGTCTCAAAACAAAAACAAAAACAAAAGCAAAACAAAACAAAAACCACAAAAAAAGAAAATGTGGCCCGGGCACAGTGGCTCACACCTGTAATCCCAGCACTTTGGGTGGTCAAGGTGGGTGGATCACGAGGTCAGGAGTCCGAGACTAGCCTGACCAACATAGTGAAACCCCGTCTCTACTAAAAATACAAAAAATTTGCCAGGCATAGTGGCAGGCACCTGTAATCCTAGCTACTTGGAAAAAAAAAAGAAAATGTGCGTGATAACTAGATTCCTAGTATGAAATATTTTCGGCCGGGCGCGGTGGCTCACGCCTGTAATCCCAGCACTGTGGGAGGCCAAGGCAGGTGGATCACGAGGTCAGGAGTGGCCAACAGAGTGAAACCCCGTCTCTACTAAAAAAATACAAAAAATTAGCCGGGCGAGGTGGCGGGCGCCTGTAGTCCCAGCTACTCAGGAGGCTGAGGCAGGAGAATGGTGTGAACCCAGGAGGCGGAGCTTGCAGTGAGCTGAGATCGCGCCACTGCACTCCAGCCGGGGCAACAGAGCAAGACTCCATCTCAAAGAAATATTTTTCTGGTGGGTACCAAACAAATTTGGGACGTCGTTGGGAATAGCTTCCTTTTGGCAAGGACTTATAATCTAAGCAAAGCTTCTCAAACACAGATTTAGGAAAATAAATATTCACAGAATTTCGGTGTCATAAATCCCATTGTTGTTAATGGGCCTCACAGCATTTTATTTTACTATTATTTATTTATTTTATTATTATTTATTTATTTTTGAGGCAGAGTTTCACTCTGTTGCCCAGGTTGGAGTCCATTTGTGCTATCTTGGCTCACCACAACCTCTGCCTCCCAGGTTCAAGTGATTCTCCTGCCTCAGCCTCCTGAGTAGCTGAGATTACAGGCACGCACCAACACATCCGGCTAATTTTTGTTTTTGTATTTTTAGTAGAGACAAGATTTCTCCATATTGGTTAGGCTGGTCTCGAACTCCCGACCTCAGGTGATCTGCCCACCTTGGCCTCCCAAAGTACTGGGATTACAGGCGTGAGCCACCGCGCCCAGCCACCTTACAACATTTTAAATGTGGTATAATTCCATTGTAATTAGTAATATTGAACTTATCAAATGATGGGCTCTGAATTATTTAAAGAATCAAATTCTACCAAATAGGGAAGGGTGGGACGGACCTGCTCACCTCATCTTGGAGGGCGAGCAGAAGGAGGTGCCATGGAAGCCTGAGGGAGACATTCCATCCTATTAGCACCTTAGGGCATGGGAATTTCACGTATGTTCTGCCTAACGGTGAAAAGCAACAAATTATTTTTGTGTCTAAAAATCACCCAGGCCAGGCACAGTGGCTCACACCTGTAATCCCAGCACTTTGGGAGGCCAAGGCAGGTGGATCACCTGAGGTCAGGAGTTCGAGACCAGCCTGGCCAACATGGTGAAACCCCATCTCTACTAAAAATACAAAAATCAGCTAGGTGTGGTGGCGCATGCCTGTAATCCCAGCTACCAGGGAGGCTGAGGCAGGAGAATCGCTTGAACCTGGGAGGCGGAGGTTGCAGTGAGCTGAGATCACACCACTGCAAAAAAGAAACCCAAAATAAGTAAAAATAAAAATGATCTACATAGGCTGAGAAATGGTTTAGAAATGGAAGCCAGATCAAATCCAGTTTTAATGGGAGGGCAAGGAATGGAGCCCTAAGGAATGTGGCGGAGAAGCAAGCGGGCCAGGCTGTGGCCGTGCTCTTGGGAAGCGTTCTCAGCACTGGGATAGCTCCTGAGATACTGTAGACCTTAGGAAGACATCCTTAGGGCCAAAAATTAACATTCTAAAATTAGGACATTCTTCCGGATGCCAGTCGAGGTGTCAGCCTGGCCTCTGAACTGCCTCAGGGGCAGGGATTGAGAGCCACACTCAGGAGTGTTTTGTCGCATCTGTCGGGGACCACGTAGTGATGGGGTCTGTCCTTTCCCTTCCAGCCGTCCATCATCAGGGCTCAGCCTCAGCACCCTCCGCCTCCAGGTCCTACACAACGGGTTCGGCTTCCACCCACAAACGCCCCTCTGCCACCCTCATCGCCCGGGAGCTGCTCCGCACCCAGGGCCTGGCTGGGCTCTACAAGGGCCTGGGTGCCACCCTCCTCAGGTGAGCCTCTCTTCCGGTTCCCTAGGACAAGTGCATGGGGGAGGGCGTGAGGGCCGGAGAGCTGGCTGTCCTATCTGCCGCTGTGTCCTTCCCAGAACACCCAAATCCAGGTGAGCAGACGATTTCCGTGCTTCCTGTTTTGCCCAGAACTGGCCAGGGTGGCACAGAATGGGTACCTAGAAGACTGAAGTTTTAGGCCCCTTGCGTAGCGATGACCAGCCCCACAGGAAGGCTGCGTGTTTTGTGGCCCAAAGGCACCTAAGAAAGCCCCTGTTTACAGAGGACTGCAGAGTTCCTAGTAAATGGGTGGCCATGTCCCTCATCTTCCCTTGGCCTGCCTGCCCCTGCACAGAACACGTTTCCAGCCTCGGACTTGCCTCTGGCAGTCAAGAGGCTGCAGGTGCTGCAGGGCAGAGGAAGGAGCTGGGAGGGCAGGACAGATGGCAGTAGCCCTTTTGTCCCCTGCTGTCCCGGGCACTGAAGAAGGGGTGAGTCCCAGCGGCTTCTCTGTGAGCCCCATAGCTGACAGCAAAGCTCATCGTCTCACCTCGGGCGGCAGCCCCAGGGCGGCTCGGAGCTCAGAGTTTCTCCTCCCTCTTCTGCAGAGATATCCCCTTCTCCATCATCTATTTCCCACTGTTCGCCAACCTTAACCACCTGGGGTTCAACGAGCTCGCCGGTAAGGCGTCCTTTGCACATTCCTTCGTGTCAGGCTGTGTGGCAGGTTCCGTAGCTGCGGTCGCAGTGACGCCTCTAGATGGTAAGGAGGTGGGAGACGTGTCCTTTCTATAGGATGAACAGTTAATTTTGCGCTTACAGATGGAACAGCCCGACCCTGGAAGCCGTCTGGGGTTGCAATCTGGCTGCTGGCAGAGGCTCATTAAAGGCCCTTCCGGAGAAAGTGGGCTCAAGAGACTTTCCCTCTGTTTCTCATCCCTGACACATCCCCTCACCTTCAAGATTCCTTTAGCTTTTCATCCCCTCAGAAGAGTTGTGAGCCTCAGCTGTAAATTATTGCTGATCTTTTAAAATGTGGGGTTGGCCGGGTGTGGTGGCTCACGCCTGCAATCCCAGCACTTTGGGAGGCCGAGGTGGGTGGATCACCTGAGGTCAGGAATTTGAGACCATCCTGACTAACATGGTGAAACCCCGTCTCTACTAAAAATACAAAACAAATTAGCTGAGTGTGGTGGCGGGTGCCTGTAATCCCAGCTACTTGGGAGGCTGAGGTAGGAGAATCACTAGAACCTGGGAGGTGGAGGTTACAGTGAGCCAAGACCACACCATTGCACTCCAGCCTGGGTGACAGCACAAGACTCCATCTCAAAAAAATAAATACATAAAATTTGGGGCTAAAGGCGGGAGCTAAACCCACTGTGAGAAGACAATGCCTCCCTCTGTGTTAGGGCTGCCCGCAGCTCCCCAAACATGCGGGCGGACTTCCTATACCAACAGTAACCTGGCCAGGTGCGGCGGCGGCTCACACCTGTAATCCCGAAACTTTGGGAGGACGAGACAAGAGCCCAGGAGTTTGAGACCAGCCTGGGCAACAAAGTGAGACCCTGTCTCTAAAAGAAGTAAAAACATTAGCTGGGTGTGGTGGTAGCGCCTGTAGTCCCAGCTACTGGGGAGGCTGAGGTGGCAAGATCACTTGAGGCCAGATGGTCGAGGTTGCAGTGAGCTGTGACTGTGCCACTGCACTCCAGCCTGGGCAACAGAGCAAGACCCTGTCTCAACAAAACCAAACAAACCCACGGTAACGTGACTCATTTATTTTATAGCTGAGGCGCAAAGACGAAGACCTCCACTCAGATCACACAATGCACACAATGGCAGAACTGGTCTCACGACCTTTTTTTTTTTTTTTTTGACATGGAGTCTCAATCTGTTGCCCAGATTGGAGTGCAGTGATGCAATCCCAGCACACCACAACCTCCGCCTCCCCAGTTCAAGCGATTCTCCCGCCCCCGCCTCCCGAGTAGCTGGGACTACAGGCATACGCCACCATGCCCGGCTCATTTTTGTATTTTTAGTAGAGATGGGGTTTCACTATGTTGGCCAGGTTGGTCTCGAACTCCTGACCTCGTGATCCGCCCTCCTCAGCCTCCCAAAGTGCTAGGATTACAGGCGTGAGCCACCGCGCCCGGCCTATGACGCAGTTTTACATGTGGTAGCTCTAAAGGAGGACCCAGCCACTTCGTGTTGAGGGGAGGACACCAAAGGTAAGCTGTTCACCACTTATTTTAACTTTTACTTCATTTAGTTCTGAAAACTCGAATCCAAACCCTCAAGAAAGGCCTGGGCGAGGACGTGTACAGTGGGATCACCGACTGTGCCAGGTGAGAGCCAGTGTCCCCTCAAATGGTGGCTGGGACCGGTTCCTCTGCATGGGTGAATGCCTAGGTCAGATTTAGAGACCAGCTGTAATGCTGGGCTCTGGGTTTCTCAGAAGTCTGTCTTTCCCTCAACTCTCAGAGAAAACAGGGTACTGGGAGCCTTTTTCTTCTTTGTGGTATCCCCACAGCGTCTCTCACCAAAGATTCTAGCCACATCAAGCCTATTTCCAAGGCCTTGACCCAACTGCATAAGTAACCAACCTGCACGCACCTAGCGGGCGAGGCACGGCCCCACACCCCTGGCCCCTCGCTCTTGCTGGGAAGGCACTATTCTCAAACGAGCGGTGCACAAATGGAGAGGCCGCCACCGAGGGCTGCTGGCAGACTGCCCCTGCCCATCAGCTCACCGGCTCTTCTTTCTCCCCAGGAAACTCTGGATTCAGGAGGGACCGTCTGCCTTCATGAAAGGCGCTGGCTGCCGGGCACTGGTCATAGCACCTCTCTTTGGGATTGCTCAAGGGGTCTATTTCATTGGGATTGGAGAGCGCATCTTAAAGTGTTTTGAGTAGACGGAGCTGGAGGTCAGGTCCCTGCACTCGCCACCCTCTCTCTAGCCCATTTCACTTAGCCTAGAGGGGACAAGGGCAGGCGGGGCCGCTCCGGCCTGCCTTGTCCTCTGCGTTGTAGCGCTACCTCAGTCTCAGGAGAAACAGTCCTATACTCTTAACAAGTCGAGCACAGCCTTCTTCCCCTGTGTGTCTACACTCATTTTCCTTTGTGGGCACAGCTACCAGGGGCTTTCAGAAGCCCCTACCCACCTACTTTTCAACAAGAGTAGTACTTTAGTTGTATTAATTGCAGTACCTTAACAGGTAGTCAAAATAGAAGGGTTGTTTCTATATTTTAACATCTCAGTCAAACTCGGCAATCTTCAGTCAGCTTGAGGATTTAGCATTGTTAATCTTGGACTCTATAACTTATGAGTCCTAGCACTGATTTTTGAGGAAAAGGAGGATCAGAAGTTCAAGGGTCCATGAAAGTCCTCAAAGTCAGCGCCTCGTTTGAGACCAAGCTCCCTTTCGAATCCCTGGATGGCTGAGGGGGCTGAGGCCGGCTCTAACTGGGCAGCCCGGCCCCTCCTCCAGAGCCCAGGCTCTTGCAGACCCCTCCCTGTATCCGAGGAACACTATTTGAAATAAAGGTGAACGGTTACAATCTCATCTGTTCATCAGTGGGTACAGCACAGGCTGCGGTGAACGGTGTCACCATCTGCTTTTCTACGTCCATTTCAAACCCCAACATTAAAAAGGGCACAGAAGCAGACCCCCGTGACTCTTCAAACTGTTACTTATGGGGGTGGAGGAACACAGCCACAGGGAAACATCTGCTTGTTAGTGACACTGGGCTTTAAGCCTTGATTCTATCCCTTCGTAAGTGCGTCGTCTTGAGGAGCTGAGTTTGCTGTGAGAGCTGTCCTCATGCACCTCGGTTCCTGCCCCATAGGCTGCTACAGGAGAAGTAATGTCACAGCAGCAGGGCCAAGTCCTAAGAAAACCAGCACCTGCTGCATGAGCTGGTGTTTACAACAGTCCCACCTACTGTGAAACCTGGCCTAACGACGAAGAGGATGGCGCCAACATGGTCAGCCTTGGGAACCTCACTGTTAAGAGAACTGCATTAGAGTATGGGCCCTGGAGACAGACCTCAGTTCAAGTCCCAGCTCCACCACGTACTAGCTGCAAGGCCCTGGGCAGCTCTTAGTTGTCACTTACAGAAAAATAAAACATGGGGCAGGGGAGGAAGAACAGGGCCTCTGTGAAAGGATCTGGTTCCAGCACACAGTGACCTGCTCCAAAACAACTCGGTTTTTTGAGCCGGGCGCTGTGGCTCACGCCTGTAATCCCAGCACTTTGGGAGGCCGAGGCGGGCGGATCACAAGGTCAGGAGATCGAGACCATCCTGGCTAACCCGGTGAAACCCCGTCTCTGCTAAAAATACAAAAAACTAGCCGGGCGAGGTGGCGGGCGCCTGTAGTCCCAGCTACTCGGGAGGCTGAGGCAGGAGAATGGCGTGAACCCGGAAGGCGAAGCTTGCAGTGAGCTGAGATCGCGCCACACACTCCAGCCTGGGCGATGGAGTAAGACTCTGTCTCAAAAAAAGAAAAAAAAACTTGGTTTTTTTTCTCACTCGGGCAACACTAACACAACTATTTCCTCGATAAAGCTGTACAGCGCTTCTAGAGGCCAGCCCACACTGAACAGCCATGTGGGGTGTGTGGCAGATCACAAGGGTGGAAAGAACGCTCCCCTCGCGGGTGATGGGCTGGGAACGACGAGCAACAGCCCAGGGGACACCCAGAGGGTTAACGGGTCCAGGTGCTGACAGCTGTCACCATCAAGTGCCACGGGGATTGGGAAAATACTTCTTTTCTAGGTGCCTCAGTCAGAATTTGACTGTGTCAAAACCTAAATTTGTAGTGCTTTACACTAGAAATCACATTAAATCCATGTAACTATTTTAATAAATAAAGCATATTCATGGCTTAGATTTTAAATCACATTTACAGATGAGGGAAAACTTCTAGGCCTAAACAGGTAACAGTCAAGCGACTACTGCTGGAAGGAGTGGTGCGCCACACGCACCTTAATAAGCCTCAAGAGTGGGGACTGCAGGGCCAAACACCAAACATCACCTCTAGGCCAGACGGAGAGTGGAGACCCAGGAAGCCCACGCGACCACCATCCGCCCCCTCCCCTAGTGCTGGAGAACCAGCTGGACACTGTGTTACTTTCAGATGAACTGGAGGTGGGTCCTGATCATATTACATGAAGCTTTCCACCACTGTGAACAATTAGGCAAGGCGTGAGTGACAGGAGGGGCATCACTGATAAATACAGAGCAATACTGGGGCAGTAAAGAGGAAGCTACAGAGACATTCGTGTTTCTTCAAATATCAGAAGCTTCTACATCACAGCGGGAGAGCTGAGGATGAGCTCCACCTCCTGAAGGCTTAGTCCAAAAACTTCCTGTTGGCATTTGCACCAAACAAGGCTCCCCGGACCTCTGGCATCATCTGTGGGGAGAAAGTGTAATAAACACGCAATGTCAGCTGGAGGAGTTGTAGAGTACCGCACATCTTAACCACAGGTGGAAAGCCACGCACCTACACGGCTGGGAAGGACGCACAAAGCCACGCACATCAAAGCCACCCTTTCGTTTCCTGAAGCACAGTAACACATTCATTGGTGAGAAGCTTAATTCATCCCAAATCTGGGGTTCAGGCTGCTTACAAAAGGGACACATTAAAAAAAAAAAAACCCTAAAGTCACTACTATCTCAGACTTAACTCATTATCATCATCTCACCACTATATGCTAGGTCACCTACACTCTTTCTTCAACAAACATTTACTGAGTGCCTACTGTGGCCACAGCGACCGCACAGAACACTTCCAATGCCAGTTTAGGCTGGAAGCACTTGCTACAGCCACTGATGAATCCTTAGGAGGACTTAACCCTGGATTTCTAAGGCTCTGCTGTCCAACAGGGCAGCTCCAGCTCCAGCTGGTTATTGTGTGCTGAGAAACTGAATTTTTCGGTTTAATCAAATATCCGTGAGTGAGTAGTGGCTATGATACTGGATGAGACAGTGGCTACTAGGAAACAATGTTCTGAGGTTTAAGTTACCAGAATATGAAAAAATCAAGGTGAAAGTGCTTTAGTTATAAGACAAGTATCTGCATAAACAGTAAACTGCCCATCTAGGTCAGGGAATAAGTAGGTTAGCAGCCACAGCAATAGACTACCCCTAGAAGGCTAGAAGATGCCCAGCATTTTAGAACAAATAGAATTTTCCTGGCTTGTCTCCTAGAGTTCATGTGTACAAATCTGGAAACATCTGAAAAGCCAGCAGCTTTATGATAATTCCTTTAAACAAGTATTTGCGGCCTCGTGCGGCGGCTCACGCCTGTAATCCCAGCACTTTGGGAGGCCAAGGCGGGTGCATCACCTGAGGTCAGGAGTTTGAGACCAGGCTGGCCAACATGGTGAAACCCCGTCTCTACTAAAAATACAAAATTAGCCGGTGTGGTGGCGCGTGCCTGTAATCCCAGCTACTCGGGAGGCCGAAGCAGGAGAATCACGTGAACCTGGGAGGTGGAGGTTGCAGTGAGTCGAGATTGCACTCCAGCCTGGGCAAAAAAGAGTGAAATTCCATCTCAAAAAAGCAAAACAAAACACAAGTATTTGCTTTAGTTTCCATGATTCCTGTTACAGAAAGAACTTGTCAGCACCTTACATGTAGTAAAATGTACAAATTTGAATCCTAGGTCAACAAAACCCTTGTTCTGAACCCAAATTCACCCTCATGTAAATGTTATCACCTCAGCAAATGCTACTGCATGCCCAATTCTCATTCTTTTTGAGCAAAAGTCCAAAAATGTGGAAAGACAGTAACAAATCCCAAATACCAGGGAATGGACATGTGCTGTCTGTCCCACTTTCAAAGTACCAGCAGACCAACTACCAAGAAGTACCGCCACACTCACCTGCTGGGCTATGAGATCCAGCCGGCTTTCCAGGGTGTTGGAAACCTTTATTTTACGATCCCCATTATAGATCTCAACTCCACCAGCTCTGCAAAAAAAAGCACAGGAAATAATCATTTTCAAAGAGTTGAGAAAGATACAAGGTACCCTTTACTCCCGCAGAGGAATGCCCTCGTCTTGGTGTGTAGACTGCGCAACCTAAGCAACAGGCCTGAAAGGAACTGAAAAAGCTTCTGAAGATGTAATGCACAGTTGGTTTCAAGACACCCCCATCCCCGCCCAGATGTCCATTATATGAAACGGTGTAGTATTTGCGTACAACCATCACACATCCTCCCCTATATTGTAAATCACGTCTATAGCACCTAAACTAGCTAATACAATGTAAATGGTTGTTACACTGTAGTGTTTAGGGAGTGAAAAGAAAAAGTTGGTTGAATTCACAGGTGTGGACCCCAAAGATACAGAGAACTGACTGCATTCATCTCAATAACTCATTTACCAGGTGACACTGTGTTTTTTTGTTTTTTTTGAGACTCACTCTGTTGCCCAGGCAGGAGTGCAATGGCGCCATCTCGGCTCACTACAACCTCTGCCTCCTGAGTTCAAGCAATTCTCCTGCCTCAGCCTCCCAAGTAGCTGGGATTACAGGCACCTGCCATCATGCCTGGCTAATTTTTGTATTTTTGTAGAGACGCAGTTTCACCATGTTGCCCAGGCTGGTCTTGAACTCCTGACCTCTGGTGATCCGCCCACCTTGGCCTCCCAAAGTGTTGGGATTACAAGAGTGAGCCACCGCGCCCGGCCTGTGTCAATTTGATTTTATGTTACAGAACCTGTTTTATCACAGCCAGCCCTCCCCAACAAAATGAAAAAGGGAGGATTTCATCTCAGTTTGCAAATCACTCAGAGTCCTCATCTGAATGATTTCTTAAGCCCAATCCTGCTCATCACTGATAAGGCCCTATCACGACTGCATGTGTGTCTGATAAAAGACGCCACTGCTGGCCGGGCGTGGTGGCTCACCCCTGCAGTCCCAGCATTTCGGGAGGCCGAAACAGATGGATTGTTTCCATTCACAAGTTTGAGGTCAGCCTGGCCAACATGGCGAAAGCCCATGTCCACTAAAAATACAAAACTTTGCTGGGCACGGTGGGGCACCTGTAGTCCCACCTACTTGAGAAGCTGAGACAGGAGAATTGCTTGAACCCAGGAGGCAGAGGTTGCAGCAAGCCAAGATGGTGTCACTGAACTCCAGCCTGGGCAACAGAGAGAGACCCTGACTCAAAAAAAAAAAAGAAGCCAGGTGCGGTGGCTCACGCCTGTAATCCCAGCACTTTGGGAGGCCGAGGCGGGCGGATCATGAGGTCAGGAGATTGAGACCATCCTGGCTACCATGGTGAAACCCCGTCTCTACTAAAAATACAAAAAATTAGCCAGGCGTGGTGGCAGGCGCCTGTAGTCCCAGCTACTCAGGAGGCTAAGGCAGGAAAATCGCTTGAACCCAGGAGGCAGAGGTTGCAGTGAGCCGAGATCATGCCACTGTACTCCAGCCTGGGTGACAGAGCGAGACTCCGTCTATTAAAAAAAAAGCGTCCAAGGGACTTTCTTCAATGTTAGTGGTGTGGCTAGGTGGCCTGAGACAGGCTGGTGAAATCGATAAAATGACGC